CGATAACTCTGATGACCCTCACGCTTCCTGAACTCAACCCAAGCTGACTCCACCGAGCACACACCCATCCCTCCCTGCAAAGAGTGGAGTCCCTACCTAATCCTAGCAGGTCTTATACCCCTTCATAGATACCAGGCAGGAAGTGTGTTGATGGCAGGATTACTAGGTAGAAATAAAGGAAAATGCCTGAAATAGTGAATGCAGCCACCACAAGTACTGTTAAGCTGCAATATGGGTTTAGCTACACTTTTTGTTTTTACTGTTACACAACATTTTTACTGTGGTCTATGTTCAGTCGGAATAGCAAATAGGGTTCAAGGGATTTAAAGTGATATGAAACTCAAAAGGTTTTAAGCTATTTCAGATGCTGATGAAATCACTTACAATAGATGCTGCCCCTTAATGTTTAAAGGTTTTAGCTTCTTGCAGAATCAGCTGGTCCCCTGAACACTGGCCCTGATATCCTGTTTTAGGACGGCTCCTTTTCCTTGCAGGGTCCTATGGAACCACCTTTGTGTGTGTAAGCTGTGTGTGTCTCCACAAACACATAGGCTCAGCAAAGCAAGACACTCCGCTGCTCCCTGCTCCTCCCTCCTCCTTCCTTCCTCGCTTCTCCATGCTAGTAGAAGGACATCTGCTGGACTCTGCTGTGTCCCTTGTGATCTTGTACTGCACAGGGAGTTCAAAAAGTGCTTGAGTAAAAATGTAAAGAAATCCTTTGCTGGACAATGTATATTTATTTGATCTGGATTCATTTTTTTTTTAAGTTTGAGAGTTTAATCCTACTTTAAAAATATAAGCCATTTCCTTGGATCTTGGTCGGGTATTTGTGAACACAGGAGAAGCAAACTCTGTTGATGCAGTAAATCAGCAGCAAGAAGTTGATTTGTTTGCTCCTGGACATAAAAGCTTATAAATCAATTGTGATTAAAGGTGGACCGCTCACACCTGGGTAAATACAGGAAATATGTGAGGTGCAGGTTTAAATAATCGTCTCATTGGCAGCAGAGCTAGGAAAAGCCCGGGCTCACTGGTAAATATTTGAGAATTCCAGTTTGTGCTCCAAATGTATTCTCTAGTCAGGAATCTGTGACAAGTGCGAAAGGAAAAAGTCAGAGATATTCATACTCAGCAGGTATATGTAGGAATGTCATATGAAACAGACACATGTCCCATTTCAGTGCTGGTGAGACTGATCCAAATTCATCCTCATACATTAATGAACCCGTATCACTGAGCAGATTTAAAGGAAACCTGTCATGAGAAGAGCGTGGAGGCCACAGCAAGAGAGCTCATCTCTCCTTCTGAAACAGCTACTTGCCTGGCTGTCTTGGTGTGGCTTTAAAGTGTATGTCTGGGCATTACTCTCATGTACCCCAATACCCCTCTCTCCTGCTCTGGGACATGTGCCACCATAAAAAGGTCCTTTTACCTTGTTCCTGTAATGGAAAACAGCTTTTATTACTCCCACTAGGATTCTAAAATCCTTCCGGGGACAGCTGCTGGGCGGTCAATTCCTATTAATGTAGGCACACCCCAAGGAACTACTTCTCCTTAAGGTCCCCACACACCTTACAATAATCGTACGATAATCGCGGGAAATCCCGTGATCGTACGATTATCGTAAGGTGTGTGGAAGCCGTGTGACCTCTACTACTGTAAGGTCGCACGACTTTAAACTTATGAACATGTTTCAAAACCTGCCGAGCATCGTACGATGTTCGGCGGGTGTGTAGCATGTTCGTAAGATAAAAGCCGGACGGGCCGGTGTGCGCAAGCGCACACTGCCCGTTCGGCATTGCAGTCATCGGAAGCCCACCCCTCAGGGGGCGTAGCTTGCGATCATCGCAAGTACGATCAGCCTATGCAAGATAGGCAGATCGTACGTTTTCTTAAGTACCTTACAACCATCGCAAGACGAAAGTCTTGCGATGGTTGTAAGGTGTGTGCCTTAGGCTGGGCACACACCTTACAACCATCGCAAGACTTTTGTTTTGCGATGGTTGTAAGGTAATTAAAAAAATGTACGATCTGCCCATCTTGGACAGGCAGATCGCACTTGCGATGATCGCAAGCCGCGCCCCCCTGAGGCGCGGGCTTTTCAGATGACCGCAATGCCGAACGGGCAGTGTGCGCTTGCGCACACCGGCTCGTCCGGCTTTTATCTTACGAACATGCTACACACCCGCCGAACATCGTGCGATGCTCGGCGGGTTTTCGAACATGCTCCTAAGATAAAAGTTGTGCGACCTTACAGTAGTAGAGGTCACACGGCTTCCACACACCTTACGATAATCGAACGATCGCGGGATTTCCCGCGATTATCGTGTGATTATCGCAAGGTGTGTGGGCACCTTAAGAGCCCTTTCCCTACTCACAGTATTAGGGCAGGCTTTTGGGAGACAAGGTAGCACAACTCCATCCATCCAGCTGTGGTTAACTACAAATCTCAACATGCCTCTGGAAGTCAATCTTGCAATGCCTCATGAGACCTGTAGAGTTCCACAACAGCTGAAGGGCCACAGTTGACCACCCCTGAGGTAGCAGCATTGTTTTGCTGGGAAATAAATCAATGTAGGCATATAGAGTGGGAGAGAGAGTACATGGGATGGGGATGACAGGTGGAATTCTGTAGTTCGGCAGGCAGGGTTGACAACACTGGGTTTGGGATTGGGAGTTTAGTGCAGCAAAGTCATTGTTTTGTCACCTCATAAAAGAAGTAAGGAGAACAATGGACTTCTGCCAGATCATCATGTTTTTCTTTCTTCTGTACATGCAGTCAGGGGCGTCCCGAGGCTGGGTGACACCCGGAGCGGTTACCGGGTGTCACCACGCCGAGACATTACCGCGCATGTGCGATGATGTAATCGCACACGCGCGGCGCACTTCTGATACCTGCCGGCGGCCATCTTGGTGATGGACGCCGGCAGAGAGAGGAGGGGACATTAACCCGGCGTGATAATGTATGCCGCCGGGTCCCCTCCTCTCTCGTGATACTGTCGGGCGTTCGGTCCATGACCGAGCGCCCGACTTTTCAGAAGGGGGTGACACCAAAATGACTGTCGGTCATTTTGGTGTCACCCCTCCAATGGTGTCACCCATGTGCGGGCCGCACCCCCCTTGTGACGCCACTGCATGCAGCATTTTGAAAACATAGTAAAATGTGCATGTATTGCAGAGATGTACTTTTATTCCCCATAGTCCCTGTGTGTGCTGTAAAGTAGCCACCGCTCCAAGCTCACTCCTGTGATAGACTACAATTTAATATTCAGGTTACTAAGTTGTCTTGAGATTGTAGTCCATCATGGGAGTGAGTTTGGAGCGAGGGCTACTTTACAACAAACACAAGGAACATGGGGAACAAAAGTAGCCACCCTCTACAAGGAAGGACAGTGTCAGCACCAATTCAGAGATGATTTCAGGATCTACAGCCAAGTGATACACAAATAAGATACATTTTTGTTAATAGGGTACTTGAATGCATTTTTAACATTTAACTCCTGCGTTTATTGTCAACTTCAAGTATAGATAAAGTGACGCTAAACTCAGAGTTAAATCTGAGTGATGGACAAATAAAATACTGTACATTTTTGTTTGTAGGGTACTGGAATGATGATTTGAGAATCTACAGCTGTGTGATGCACAAACAAGCTACATTTTTGTTAACAGTTGGGGTACTTGAATGTATATTTTTTAAGATTTAACTCTGATTATAGTGTCACTTTAACTACACATAAACTTTAATGCTCATAGTTTATAACAAGTGCTACTGCAGCTCCACATGTGGCCACTAGGTGGCGGTAGATGGGACAGTAATAAGTGACAGTGGTGACAATCAGCAGATATCTGCTACAGGTTACAATAAATTCCAATGAAATGTAATAAAATGCAATATAAGAAAAGAAAGAATGAAACATTTCCTTGCCCCAGTCATCTGTCCCCTTGTTTTCTTTTTCCATTCCTCCTTTTTTCTTCACCTGCAGACAAACCACAACCCAACGTTATATTGACTCTTTGCTGGGAGTGGTAAACACACAGATTAGAACAAATAGAAAAGTTCAAGCAGATCAGATTACTCCATCCCCCCGGACCCTGATTGACAGGGGGACTGTCCCTTCCCATGACACCCTGCAAGGTGTCTGGAGGGTGCCCAGTGCCCGGCAGCCTGCGCTGAGGATTTCCTGCACTCATTAGAAGAGCAATCAGCAGCGATCAGCTAATGCATGCTCCAGATCTGCAAATGTAACAATCAAGTGCGTCCCCTTTAATGGATTACTGTAATATTTCTGGTAGTCATTAGAAAAGAAGAAGAAGAAGTTGCTGCTGGTAAAGCAGTGTAAAATGATCACTCTGATAGAGGAGATGCACACTTGCCTGGACTGGGCTGTGATGATCGGGAAGATGGCAATGGATGTTTTTTGTTTTTTTTTGTTCCTAGGGATGTCTAATTAAAGACTGAGTGTCACCAGGGATCTCTCCTACGTCTGCTGCAAGAGAGCATAAGAAGAGAGAGAGAGAGTGAGCTTGCCTGGTCAGACCTCACAGGGGGGGGGGGGGACCCCCGGAGCACTCACTCTTCCTCAACTTGACTTTTATTTGTTTCCTCCCACATCTAATTCGATATGATCAGATCCAGCAGCCACCTCATGGACAACCTAAACTATATATAAGACTCATGAGGTGGGACTGGCATGGTTCACAGTGACTGGAGAGAGCTGCAAACTTCTTGCTGCTGTCATCTTTCTGCAAAAAAAGGGACCCCTTGTTTAGCTTGAGCAACCCAGCAGGTAACTGAGCTGCTCCTTCCTGCTTTGCAGGTGCTTTTTGTCACTTTTTTCCCTTCTTCCCCCTGATGGCTTCTTTTCTATGATAACTTCTGGCTGTGTGTGCTTATGACTGCTACTGTGTACTTTAATGCAAGGCATGCATGAGGTGAGCAAATGCATGAGGAGGGTGTAGAAAGAGTGCTGGGATTGTGACACTTCACTTCACATTGGAGAGGTAGCCTGGGAGTGAAGGATGCTCACACTCAGTGGCAGGCTGAACCATACTGATACAAGTCTACTTTCTTTACTCCCACCTAATCTAGAGCTGTGGACGACCACTTGACTCGCTGGATAAGAAGATGAGGGATGCCCTATACAGCGCAGTGCTGGCCATTCTGCTCCTGTTGCTCTCCTCTGGATACTGCAAGGACAGGACTGACTCCACTAACCTCACAGACAAGAACCTGCTCAATTATATCATGAAACTCATCAAAGACTTTAAGAGGTATAACCTGGATGAGGAGAATAAAGGGCAATATCCCTCCAAACAAAGTTATTACCCGGAGGAAAAGGAGGATATGGAGTATGGAGCCTACCAGGAGCAGAGAGTAGGTAAGAGCATGGATGAACTTGGGCAAAGAAATGGAAATGCTGTTATGTAATATGTTGCTGCCTGATGTATATGACTGGAGGTGCTGTGCAGGGCTGTGTTTGCTGCAAGGGCAAGCCAGGCAGATGCCCGAGGCAACAGATTCATAGTGGCTAATTTACTAAAGACAAATAGGCTTGTCACACTGCAAGGGAGTTTTCTCTTTTTAAAGTGACACTAAACTAAGGAGTTACATTTTAAAAATGTATTCAAGTATTTTAACTATTAACAAAAATGTGTCTTATTTGTGTATCACTCGGCTGTAGATCCTCAAATCATCTCTAAATTGGTGCTGACACTGTCCTTCCTTCTGGAGGGTGACTACTTTTGTTCCCCATGATCCCTGCGTGTTGTAAAGTAGTCACGGCTCCAAACTCACTCCTGTGATGGACTACAATCTCATGTTTAGTTTACTGATTTGTATTGAGATTGTAGTCCATCACGGGATTGAGCTTGGAGCAGTGACAACTTTACAACACACACAGGGACCATGGGGAACAAAAGTAGCCACCCTCCAGAAGGAACGACAGTATCAGCACCAATTCAGAGATGATTTGAGGATCTACAGCCGAGTGATACACAAATAAGATACATTTTTGGTAATAGTTAAGGTACTTGAATGCTTTTGTAAGATGTAATTCCTGAGTTTAGTGTCACTTTAATCAATACCACCACCTTTATGACAAATGTGGTCCCGGAAAGCAGGGATTCCAAATAATACATTTTGTAAATGGTATTCGTGACCTTGCTTTTATGTTCTTACGGGCTTTATGATTTATTTTTTGTGTATTATTGGAAATGTTCTTATGTCTTTTTTCATGGCATTAGTGAATTTTTACTCAGTATTATATTGTTTATAAAGTTCTCACAGTGCAACAGGCAATATTTCAGCATTCCTGATTGGGAACAGAATGAGCGTCTGAGCTGTTTACAAATAATGTAATATCTAAAGTTCATTATTTGGCTCTCCTGAATATCACGTTACCCTCTGAGTACATGTTATTGTCTTTTCCTAAAAGATCATATTTCTAAAGCAATGTATTTTATTTACACCAACAACTGTTTGTTGAAGTCTGCTTGTATATGAGTGATGTGGATTTGGGGAGCAGAAGATCAGACATTTGTTTAGAGTATAACAGTTACAAGCTAGAAGTTTATTTAGACTTTTATAATATTGACCTTTGATTTTCTGTTTCTTATTTTGGCTTTACTGGCAGCTGTTATTTTACTATTAAATCTAATAGTGTAGGATGATTGACTGCTGGCTTGCCAACAACTTTATATATATGAGGGCAAATTAGTGTAGGCATCAAGTTAATAATGTAGTAAATAAAAGCTGATTGACGTTAATGTTGTAGACTTTCCAGTTCTCAGTTTGCTGTACAGCTTTCCTGTTACCAACAATCTTTACATAATGTTGCACAGTCACACATATAGATTAGTTCGCTGTTCACTATAGTTCATTAGTTCAGGCAGCAAAGTTAGATTACTTTTACATTGTAATAATAAAGTAAAATGTATATCCTGAGACGATAATGAAATGACAATGTAATGGTTACACAGCATTGCTTAATACATTGTAACAGAACTTTTTTGTGGCCCTTAAGGCCATGTCAGATAAGTGATTTTATAGTAGTGTCTTGATCAGCCGTTTATAGCTAGGAAGATATGAGTGCAATCCATGAAAGGTCCGTGCTGCAACAGTCCCATCACTTTGTAGCTCAGGGGCTGAGCAAGTGACTTTTGGCAGTGACTTTTGGCAGTGCTCCATTGTCACCTTCAGGCCAGGTTCACACCTGCGCGATACGTGACCGCGCAGTATCGTGCACGACACAGTGCAGATTACTGTGCAGTCACGGAGTTGCCCACCGCGATCACGCTGTCGGTGCCATTATTTTCTAATGGCACCACAGTCACGCCTGGCAGATCGCACCGTTTTCCATCTGCGCAATCAAACACAATCGCGGCTAAAACAGCCATGTGTCGCGTGTCGTAAAAAAAGGTACATGCACCTTTGTTCTGTGATTGCCGCACGGATGTAACCCCATTGAAATTAATGGGGCCGCGGGGCAATCGCTGTGTGCAATTGTGCATGATCGCGTGGTCCCTGGACGTGCGTCCCGGATCACCCAGATCACCCAGCCCTCAGGGGCTGTTCAGGGTATCTGATGCAGCTGCTGATGACCAGTGAACATCACCAATCACAAGTCACACAGCAGCTCTAAACCCAACTACAAGTCACCACTAAAAATAAGGGATTTGCAAAGGCTCCAGATGTCTTATACAAAGTTTACATTGCCCATTAATTAGTTTGTGTGGCTTGGCTGGCAATAGGGGACCTTCACAGTGGATCACACTCCAATGGCTCACTATTCAGAGACCAATACGCATAAAATAGGCAATATGCCAACCTAACCTTGTTAGAATATTAGATATTTTATTTACATTTCTTTCATAGCCAACTGCAACTTTACAATCAGCCTTTTCAGGCTGGGGGTGGGAATGTAAGAAAAATGAGTGTCCTGCCATAGAAATGGGTAACTATCTCCCCATGAATAGGATTTGATCTTCCAGAAGGTTGCTGTCCTACCACTTTAGCCATTGCTGTGTGTTGGCTTCAATTTATAAATTGGGTTTTATGCCAGGCAAACACACATAAGAGTTTGCTGGGGGTTGGTGTTTCACTGATTTGATTTTGATAAAATGAAAATGGATTAGTTGCAATGCATAACCATACTCCATAATCACTGCCCTTTGCTCTTATGCTGGTCATACACAAGGCAGTCTTCTGGCCATTTCAAACACTTTAATGAGCTTTAACACTCAAAAACAATGCCATATGGATATAAATATACAAGGTTTTGGTGACTGATCCATTGATCCATTGAGTAATTTTTGTCATCAAAACCTGGCTGAAAACTATGGGGCTGATTATCTAAAGGCAAACAGGCTGTTCACCTCACAAGTTAATTTCCCTTTAGTTTAGTGGATATGGTAATAATTCACTTTGCACAGAATACCTAATCAGCTGCAGGGAAAATTTTATAACAAAAAGTTTGCTTGCGCATGATTGTTTGAATCAAGTCATTCACTCAACTAAGGGGAAATTCCCTGACAAAGTGAAAAGCCTATTTGCCATTAATAAATCAACCTCATAGCAATTCAACCAGGTTTTGATGACAACAGTTACTAAATGGATTGAGGCAACTGACCAGCAAAACTTTGTATATTTGTACATTTATACCCATAAGGCTTTGCTGTGCTTTGAGTTTTAAAGCCCATTAAAAGTGTTTGAAATTGCTAGATTGCCTTTTGAATGTCCAAGGTAAGAGCTAAGGGCAGTGGTATGGAGAATGATAATCCATCGCAACCAATCTGTTTTCATTTGATCAAAATTAAGTGAAACACCAATTCTGAAAAGTTGCTGGGTTACAATCCTTTGTAGACTACTGTTTGCCTTATCAAATAACCCAAATATCTGTTACATATAAGATAATATATACAGCATTTAGATTTATTGGAACATGTGACTATAATATTCTAGACTTCAATGCTGTGTCACAGCTGCTGAGTACTATTTAGTAGTTGCTGCCTTGCTCTGCCATATCATACAATATAGGTTATGTTAGATCTAGGTCATAGGATTGGTAAGAGTAAGCAGGTCACGTTTGCTGGCATTACCTGGGTGTTGTGTAAGCTGGTGCCTGGGGCTGTGTGTTTCTGGATACTGTTTTCCTCACATGCTCAAGCTTGTGTAAGAGTCTGTCTACTTTTATTCTGCAGCCAAGTATGTAAGCCAGAGTATGAAACTACTCAAGGAGTGTGTACTGATTGATTGATCTATCATGAAATGGTATATCCCTCACAGGGTATACACCACCCAGGGCTCTCCAAAGTTACACTGCTGTGCGTACAAGAGCTTTTTTTTCTTCTTCTTCTTAAAGCTGAACTCCGAGATAAGCAAATATAAGAGCCACATGGATTCATAAATAAATCTTGGTCTGCTTTGAGTATTTCTGCCAGATCTGTGCAGTAAGCCAGCATGAAACTGTTCAGAAGATTCCTGTAAGCCAGACCTGGTCACTGCTGCTCTCCCTCCTTGTGCAGGGTGACTGATCTTGTATCCGCCCCCTCCTGTAGTTTTCTGCAGGGGGCCTGTAGTGGGTGGAGCCTGCTGGGTCCCTCCCACAGCTCTGCTCTCTGCATACGCTATGTACAGCACAGTGATAATGTTACTGCTACCTTTAGAAGGTATTATCTGGGTTTCAAAAGGCAATTGCTGCATAAAAGTGTATTAAAATGTATCTAAACCCTAGAGCAAAAATGTAATATATTGCAGCTTACCAGTTCTTAGATGTGGTGGCTGAAATTGTTTTCTTTTTTTTCACCTGGTGATCTGGCCAGTAAGTCTGTTATTTTTCTACGTCTTTTAACAAGCCAAGCTGTCCAGCAGATAGAGGGTTGAGACAAAGAATTTAACACTGACAGGTGTGGTTAGATCTTTATCTTAAAAAGAAAGAAAAACTGTTGCTAAAACTGCTTAAAAAGTAGTAGCTGAAGATCAGAGTTAATGTGTTAGTCAAGTCCATCTAAATCTGCTAGTACATCTAACACTACCCTCTCCACAAGGTGGCAATGCTGCTGTCCGAGCCTGGCTCTATTGCTCCTCCATAGAGTGGAGTCACCCAAAGGCAGGAAGTGTGTTAGCAGCCGAATTTCCAGGTGAGAATAAAGGGGTAAAAAAGCCTAAAAAGGGAAAACTAATGCAGTTATCACATGTAATCATTATTGAGCTGCAATATATA